CTTTATGACTCTGAGGTCTTTGGAGTTTCCTGGAGCGTGTGGACTCTTCCTGTAATCGTCCCCGAGCCGCCGACGGAAAAACTCGTCCGCTGCCAGTGTTTTGTTTTCTTTATTTCTGTTTGTTTAATGGCTCCTGAGTCTAATTCCTTTGGCTTTAAACCACGAGGAGAATGCAGCGGCGTTCACGGGGGACGAGAAACAAAACAGGAATCCGCAGCTCCAAATAGGGCAGAGATTCATCACGGCCCAATCAGAGTCGGGACGCCGCGGTGAGAAAAAGGCGAAGGCCGCACGTTCTCGAGTGACGTCGTTTCCTCCGCCAACGAGAAAATATGAAAAACACGTCAGATATTCCTTTTATGAAACGATCTGAGCCGTTCCGACGCGTCTCCTCACACACGACACGACACGACACCACCTGGAGAGTTTTCAGTCACGTCCTCAAAAAAAACAGACCTGGACTTTACTCTGAGTCTGCAGAGCTCAACATGTTCTGGTCCACCTTGTGATGTCATCAAGTGGAGATATGTTTTGTTTCATTCACACACGTTTGAGTAACACTGTTTTAGTCCTGGTCTAGTCCTGGTTTAGACCTGGTTTAGTCCTGGTTTAGTCCTGGTTTAGACCTGGTTTAGACCTGGTTTAGTCCTGGTTTAGTCCTGGTTTTAGACCTGGTTTAGTCCTGGTTTAGAGTCCTGGTTTAGACCTGGTTTAGTCTGGTTTGTTTAGACCTGGTGGTTTAGTCCTGGTTTAGTCCTGGTTTAGTTAGTCCTGGTTTAGACCTGGTTTCCTGGTTTAGTTTACCTGGTTTAGACCTGGTTTAGTCCTGGTTTAGACCTGGTTTAGACCTGGTTTAGTCCTGGTTTAGACCTGTTTTAGTCCTGTTTTAGTCCTGGTTTAGACCTGGTTTAGTCCTGGTTTAGTCTGGTTTAGACCTGTTTTAGTCCTGGTTTAGTCCTGGTTTAGACCTGGTTTAGTCCTGGTTTAGACCTGGTTTAGACCTGGTTTAGTCCTGGTTTAGACCTGGTTTAGTTTAGTCCTGGTTTAGTCCTGGTTTACCTGGTTTAGTCCTGGTTTAGACCTGGTTTAGTCCTGGTTTAGTCCTGGTGGTTTAGACCTGGTTTAGTCCTGTTTTAGTCCTGGTTTAGACCTGGTTTAGTCCTGGTTTAGACCTGTTTTAATCCTGTTTAGTCCTGTTTTAGTCCTGGTTTAGTCCTGGTTTAGACCTGGTTTTAGTCCTGGTTTTAGTCCTGGTTTAGTCCTGGTTTAGACCTGGTTTAGTCCTGGTTTAGACCTGTTTTAGTCCTGTTTTAGTCCTGGTTTAGACCTGGTTTAGACCTGATTTAATCCTGGTTTAGACCTGGTTTAGTCCTGGTTTAGACCTGGTTTAGTCCTGGTTTAGACCTGTTTTAGTCCTGTTTTAGTCCTGGTTTAGACCTGGTTTAGACCTGATTTAATCCTGGTTTAGACCTGGTTTAGTCCTGGTTTAGTCCCGGTCTAGTTCAGTTCTAGTCATGGTCTTGTTCTGGTTCAGTCCAAGTCTCGTCCTGGTTTAGTCCTGGTTTAGTCCTGGTTTAGTCCTAGTTTAGAACCAGGACTAAACCAGGACTAAACCAGGACTGAACCAGGACTAATCAGTCAGTTCAGTTTGATTTCCGTCTTTGTGCTGTTCCTCTGATCTGTAAAGCCTCAGATTGACTCCATAAGGCTCTCACGCGTGTGTTTTCCGAGATCGTTCAGAACATGGACGTCGACGACACCGACCGCACTATTTACAAAGACTTTAACATTTCTGTATCGTTAAAATCGCTTTTGCCGTCACGTTCCAAACAGGAAGTTCACATGTGGCTCTTCTGGCTCCTTCTGACTCTGGCTCCCGGTGACTCACACTGGGATCTTGTGGCTCGTCTTTCTGGACCTGCCGCTGTGAGTCTTGTCATTTCAGTCTTAAATGTTCGTATGAACCCGCGACACAGGATCCTGAACTTTTCATTTCGCTGTTTTGTTCCTAAATCAACATATGAACATAAATAACGGACCAATCAGACGCCTTCATTCCCCGAGGTCCCTCCCACTAGCCTTAACATCAGGTCTGATTGACAGCAAGTGCGTTTCGTTGCTAAATTAAGCCCCACAGATCTTTAATGAAAATCTGAAGGTGAATCCATGTTGTTTTCATTTGTCTGTGCTCATTCATGAACCGGTTTCACTTCGTAGAAACCGTCTGACCTTCGTTCGCTCAATGGTAGGAGGATACTTCTTTAATTTAAATGTTGTATAGAGGATTTTTTAAGGGAAGAGAAATACAGCGACAGTCCTTGTGCGCTTCAGAATCACTGTTGAAGTTTCCTGTCTAGAAGTAATTCAGCGACCGACGCGTCAGTTTTAGACCCTTCGTCTGCTTCAGTCGCGCCATCGCTGGAAGGAATCTCCAAGAACCACCTCAGTTTGGCTTTGCTCCTTTTCCACTTCTCTTCTTCTTTCGGCCTCCTCAAAACCGGACTTTCTTTGGCTGCGAACCGGTCGTAGATTCTCGTCCACCATCGCAGCAAACTTTGTGTGAAATGCGAGGAAGCTACAGTTTAAAAAAGCCTCTAAGAACCGCTGCATAAACCACGTAATCCCCGCGCGCTGGCGAGACAGTTACACTAGGGAGTTTGATTGACAACCTAACAGCCAATAGAAAATGAGGGAGCCTCGTTATCTATTGGCTGATGTTTATCTGGCCTCAACATGTCCACAGTTGATAGATTTTCATTCTTTTTATTTTGGTCATCATATTTACAAAGCTGCTCCGTCTCTGTAATGGTATTTAAAACTTTCAATGACAATTTGAAACAAAAACAAATAAATCCTCCATATGACCTTTAACAAATCGCTGTTATTTGGTCAGGACATATGTGCAGGGTTAACTGGTATATTAAGCTTTTCCCAAATCCCGTAGGAAGAAGAACAATAACGTCTTTCCCCTTGATAAAATTCACCAAACATTCTCTTTGTTCTGGCTTTAAATCCTCGATCAGGGGAATCGTTGCCAACACAGAATGTCTGTCTCTTCGCTGATTGGCTGGTGCCAGAACTCACACTTCTGGGGTTTTTGTGAACCGTCCAGTGCATTTTGATTCTTGATCTAGTCACTGGAGAGAAAGTAAACTGAGTGGAGGAACTAGGTGGCGCCAGTCTGATTAGTGCTCATTGACTCATGGGCCCAAAAAAATGTTCACTTCTACATTTACTTCCTCAGTCCGGTCGAGCTCCTCTCACCCGTGTGTCGTCTGTAACGTCTGCACACTTAGACCAATCAGAGCGACGAGGATCAGTCTGACAAAGATCAGTTCAGAAGCCGCGAGGATTTCAACATTTTAAAAAAGTTTATGGTCTGAAAATAGAAAAGAATCCTACAAAATGCCACCTTTGTGAAAGTTGTCGATGCTCTGAAGAACACGGGCAGTTTGAATTTCCAAAATGCATTGCGCTTTGTGGGAAAATTCTTTCTGGGCCTAAACTCTGGGAGCTGCAGAACCTGGAGCGACCACTAGTCTGTGTGGAGCTGAAACAGAGAGGGATCCAAAACACACACTTTTATTCACCACATTGTTGTTTAAGTCGCAGAGTTCAAAGTGGCGGCTTATAGTCCTGAAACTACAGTGATGCTCTGTCCACAGACGTGTGATAGAGATGCGTGGATGGGCTATTTTTTCATCCGCAACCGCGGCACAAAACTCATCATCCGCCCGCTGTCCATTTTGCACCGAAGGTTTTCAAAACCGCACCCGCCCGCCATCCGCCGATTGATTTTAGATTTTAGAACAATCATACAGCAAACAAACTAAGGAGCCTCGATAAAAATGCAAACACTATAGCTCATTCATTCCAAAATTCGCTCAGCGTGTTTGTTCACATTCTTAATTGTCCGTAACAACCCCAGACTTACCTGGTTTTCTTGCGCAGCTAATTAATTGACAACATTTTCCGACTAGGCTGTTTTTGAACCTTCTTGCCTTCGTGTTGGATGTTGTTACATTCTGAACATTCTGCCATCGCCCCGATGATATGTCAAAGTCATAGCCTCACTCCATCGGTCTTTCTTTAAGTTTTAAATACCTCGAGTGGCAGTCTACGCTATAAATGTCTGCGTGTTTTAAAATATAACTGATATCGAAATGGCCCTATAGCCACTTATGTGTTGGCAAACAGCTGAAATAAATTAGAAATAATAAAATAAACTGCATATAATATGTGCCTCGTAAACCTTAGGCATCAATAACCCGACACAACCTGAACCTTCAGAACATAAAAACGAGGTCAAATGGGCTAATTAAGGACATGACGTCCACTTCATACAAGCACAGACAATGAGACTCGTCTTTTCAGATGTAGGTAACAATACTAACATTTTTTTTTTTTTTTTTTTTTTTTTTTAGTAGTGTTAATCCGCCACCCGCCCGAATTTAATTAAAATATAATTTTTCGTCACGTCATCCGCCCGACCCGCGGATTAACCGCGGATACCGCGATTGTAACCGCAATCCGCGCATCTCTAACGTGTGGCCTTTAAGAGCTCATCTTTAAGAGCGACTTGGACTTTGGCACACAGAGACTCGAGCTCTTTGGTCTGAAAACAGAGACTCGACTGAAACAGAGACTCGAGCTCTTTGGTCTGAAACAGAGACTCGAGCTCTTTGGTCTGAAACAGAGACTCGAGCTCTTTGGTCTGAAACAGAGACTCGAACTCTTTGGTCCGAAACAGAGACTCGAGCTCTTTGGTCCGAAACAGAGACTCGAGCTCTTTGGTCCGAAACAGAGACTCGAGCTCTTTGGTCCGAAACAGAGACTCGAGCTCTTTGGTCCGAAACAGAGACTCGAGACTCTTTGGTCCGAAACAGAGACTCGAACTCTTTGGTCCGAAACAGAGACTCGAGCTCTTTGGTCTGAAACAGAGACTCGAACTCTTTGGTCTGAATAAAGTTTGATTTTTCTGTTTTGTGTTTTTTTCTCAGACATCGACGAGTGTTTGGAGATAAACGGAGGCTGTGATCATTTCTGTCGGAACACGGTCGGATCCTTCGAATGCAGCTGCCAGAAAGGACACAAGCTCCTGACGGACGAGCGCACCTGTCAAGGTCAGTGAACGCACCTGTCGAGGTCAGTGAGCGCACCTGTCGAGGTCAGTGAACGCACCTGTCGAGGTCAGTGAGCGCACCTGTCGAGGTCAGTGAGCGCACCTGTCGAGGTCAGTGAACGCACCTGTCGAGGTCAGTGAGCGCACCTGTCGAGGTCAGTGAGCGCACCTGTCGAGGTCAGTGAGCGCACCTGTCGAGGTCAGTGAGCGCACCTGTCCAGGTCAGTGAGCGCACCTGTCGAGGTCAGTGAGCGCACCTGTCGAGGTCAGTGAACGCACCTGTCGAGGTCAGTGAGCGCACCTGTCGAGGTCAGTGAACGCACCTGTCGAGGTCAGTGAGCGCACCTGTCCAGGTCAGTGAGCGCACCTGTCCAGGTCAGTGAGCACCTGTCAGGTCAGTGAGCGCACCTGTCGAGGTCAGTGAGCGCACCTGTCGAGGTCAGTGAGCGCACCTGTCGAGGTCAGTGAGCGCACCTGTCGAGGTCAGTGAGCGCACCTGTCGAGGTCAGTGAACGCACCTGTCGAGGTCAGTGAGCGCACCTGTCGATTGTGAGTCATCTTGAATCCGTGTGTCATTGGTTCATTTCTTTTTCAAAATAAAGCCAAAAATATGAACATGAAGAAACAACAGTTTTCTTCATTATTTGTCTCCAAAACCAAAATAAAAAAACAGATAATGATTCATTTGTTGTTGTGTTTAAATGAAAAATGGAAAAAAAACGAATAACGGACTGAACCAGGACTAAACCAGGACTGAGTGTCGGGACCAGGACCAGACCAAGACTGAGACTGGGACTGAAGTCGGGACCAGAACGGGACCAGACCAGAACTAAGACCAGGACCATACCAGAACTGAGAACAGGACTGAGACCAGGACTGAGACCAGGACTGAGACCAGGACTGGTCCCAGAATCACTGTCCATTATCCGTTTGTTCATTTTGGTTTTGGCGACAAATAATGAAGAAAATAGTTTTTTTTTTTTCCTTTTCTTATTTTTGGTTTTATTTTGAAAAACTAATGAATGAATGATGCACAAATCGTCTTACGGTCCTAGTTTCGATGATTTTCTGGTGGAGATACTTTCCTCCATGGAGATGTTATTGCTTTGTCTGGAATGTTCCACAGTATAGCATTAAAAATGCTTCTATCTTCTATCTTTGATATTTTTGCACCTGTCTCTGCTCTTGCACCTGTCTCTGCTCTGTGCACCTGCTCTGTGCACTGTCTCTGCTCCGTGCACCTGTCTCTGCTCTGTGCACCTGTCTCTGCTCCGTGCACCTGTCTCTGCTCTGTGCACCTGTCTCTGCTCTGTGCACCTGTCTCTGCTCTGTGCACCTGTCTCTGCTCTGTGCACCTGTCTCTGCTCTGTGCACCTGTCTCTGCTCTGTGCACCTGTCTCTGCTCTGTGCACCTGTCTCTGCTCTGTGCACCTGTCTCTGCTCTGTGCACCTGTCTCTGCTCTGTGCACCTGTCTGTGACCTTCAGATCTCGGTGCGTCTGGAGTTCGGCCAAAGCTCTTGATGCGACGCTGCGAGGAGAGACAGAGCCAAAATTTAATTTGTCTAAACACTTAAATCTATCAGAAAATAGTGAAATGATCCGTCCAAGCAGCAAAAACATTAAATATCTTAAAATAAACGACCTCCAGACGAGAACGAAGCGTCTCAGAACGAATAAGTAGAAAATAAATCTGAAAACAAGACGAAAAACCTGATATAAGTTTTAAAATCTTGGCCAAATCAGAGCAGAGGCAGGTGCACAGAGCAGAGGCAGGTGCACAGAGCAGCGGCAGGTGCACAGAGCAGCGGCAGGTGCACAGAGCAGCGGCAGGTGCACAGAGCAGAGGCAGGTGCGACACTGTGAGGTGAGACGGAGGAAAAAAAAAACTGAAGGTCACTCATTTGGCAAAGAACAGAAGGATTTCACATATAAACACTTATGAACAAGAATTAAACTGATTTTAAATGTAAAGATTTAAAAATTACACTATTTTTTTATCTGTTTCCTCGTCACAAACAGACCTGGAGTTGTGTTTTGTTTCACTCACACACGTTTAACTCACAAACTCTGCACATTTAGGCTGAGCTCGTCTCTCAAATGAAACTGGAAACACACCCAAAGTTTTTACAGACGTCTAACTGCAAGGAACAGCAATTTAAAAGTGAAAAAAACAAAACTGCAGAGTGCACTCAGATGGCTGAATTATAGAAGCTTTTTAAAAATGTTTAAATTACGTTTCGGCAAAAAGCCTTTGTCAGATCATTTTTCTTGCTCTGGACCAAAGGATACATGAGTTCTCTCTCTGTTTCAACTGTTTTTAAACTCCAAACACCTTCACCAGATTAGACTAGATTTAAGACCTGCTCAGACTTCAGAAGAACACAACAACTTTGTTTTTTGTTTTTTTTTTTTTGTTTTTCGTTTGGGCTTAGACATTTCATTCTTCAAAAGATGTTCTGCTGCTGAACTGCCCCGCCCCCTCGCACTGCCCCACCCTCCTCGCACTGCCGCACCCTCTCCACTGCCCCCTCGCACTGCCCCCTCCTCGCACTGCCCCACCCTCCTCGCACTGCTCCACCCTCCTCCCACTGCTCCACCCTCTCGCACTGCCCGTCCTTGCACTGCCCCACCCTCCTCGCACTGCCCCTGCCCTCCTCGCACTGCCCACCCTCCTCCACCCTCCTCGCACTGCCCCGTCCCCTTGCACTGCCCCACCCTCCTCGCACTGCCCTGCCTCCTCCCTGCCCTCCTCGCACTGCTCCCTCCTAGCACTGTCCGCCCTCCTCGCACTGCCCCGCCTCCTCCACTGCTCCACCCTCCTCGCACTGCCCCGCCCTCCTCGCACTCCTCGCACCTCCTCGCACTGCCCGCCCTCCTCGCACTGCCCGCCCTCCTCGCACTGCCCCACCCTCCTCGCACTCCCGCCCCGCCGCCCCTCGCACTGCCCCACCCTCCTCGCACTGCCCCGCCTCCTCGCACTGCCCCCCTACTGCACCCCCTCGCACTGCCCGCCCCCTCCACTGCTCCCCTCCCGCCCTCCTCGCACTGCTCCCGCCCTCCTCGCACTGCCCCGCCCTCCTCGCACTGCCCCGCCTCCGCACTGCCCCGCCCTCTCGCAACTCGCCCCTCTGCACCCCCACGCCCGCCTCGCACCACCCTCCTCGCACTGCACTGCCCCGCCCTTCGCAACTCGCCACCGCTCCCTCCTCCCGCCCACCTCGCTCCACCACTCCTCGCACTGACTGCCCACCCTCCTCGCACTGCCCGCCCACTCGCTCTGCCCCTCGCATGCCTGAAGTAAAGGTAAAAGGAGCTGTTCACTTGAAAACTACCACGTCATGACATCACAAGGTGGAATGGAGTATCAGTAGTAGTAGTGGTAGTAGTAGTAGTAGTAGTAGTAGTAGTAGTAGCAGTAGTAGTAGTAGTACAGTAGTAGTAGTAGTAGTAGTAGTAGTAGCAGTAGTTAGTAGTAGTAGTAGTAGTAGTAGTAGTAGTAGTAGCAGTAGTAGTAGTAAGTAGTAGTAGTAGTAGTAGTAGTAGTAGTAGTAGTAGTAGTAGTAGTAGTAGTAGTAGTAGTTGTAGCCTGTTTCAGTTGTGATTTTGTCAGGTTTAAGTTGGCGTTTGCTGTGTTCGTCTCTGTTCTGTTTACTCACTCTGCCTCTGACTCTGACTCTGGCTCTGACTCTGACTCTGGCTCTGGCTCTGGCTCTGACTCTGGCTCTGACTCTGGACTCTGGCTCTGGCTCTGACTCTGGCTCTGGCTCTGACTCTGGCTCTGGCTCTGGCTCTGGCTCTGGCTCTGACTCTGGCTCTGACTCTGGCTCTGGCTCTGGCTCTGGCTCTGACTCTGGCTCTGGCTCTGGCTCTGGCTCTGACTCTGGCTCTGACTCTGACTCTGGCTCTGACTCTGGCTCTGACTCTGCTCTGGCTCTGGCTCTGGCTCTGACTCTGGCTCTGACTCTGGCTCTGGCTCTGGCTCTGACTCTGACTCTGGCTCTGACTCTGGCTCTGGCTCTGGCTCTGACTCTGGCTCTGGCTCTGACTCTGGCTCTCTGGCTCTGGCCACTTCCTCCTCCACAAACTGCTCCTCACTATTTTTAGCCCTGACAGAAACCAGCCGCAAGCGGAGACGCAGGCCCCAGAGCCCAAGGCCCCGGGGCCCGGCAGCTAATGATTTTTGGGGATAAACATTTGTGAGAGTTCAGACGGAGCGGGGTTATGTTGAGGAGACGGGCGCTTCCCACCGCCGCTGCAACTACAGACGGGTATCTGCCCTCTGCGGGGCATTAAAGAGGAGTATCTGACCTCTGCGGGGTATTAAAGAGGGGTATCTGACCTCTGTGGGGTATTAAAGAGGAGTATCTGACCTCTGTGGGGTATTAAAGAGGGGTATCTGACCTCTGTGGGGTATTAAAGAGGAGTATCTGACCTCTGTGGGGCATTAAAGAGGAGTATCTGACCTCTGTGGGGTATTAAAGAGGAGTATCTGACCTCTGGGGTATTAAAGAGGGTATCTGACCTCTGTGGGGTATTAAAGAGGGGTATCTGCCCTCTGCGGGGCATTAAAGAGGAGTATCTGACCTCCTGTGGGGTATTAAGAGGGGTATCTGACCTCTGCGGGGTATTAAGAGGGAAGAGGGGTAAGTATCTGACCTCTGTGGGGTATTAAAGAGGGGTATCTGACCTCTGTGGGGTATTAAAGAGGAAGTATCTGACCTCTGACCCTCTGTGGGGTATTAAAGGTTGTATGGAGGATTTTTTTTTTGTTTTTTTTGTTTCAGTTGTCAATGATAGCATTATAAGGTGCGTAGCCTTGTAATTATGATGACCAAAAAAAAGAGAAATAAAAATTCATCAACTCTGGACGTGGTGGCCAGCTAAACATTTGCCAATAGATAACGACAATTGCCTCGTTATCTGTTAGCTGACAGGCTATCATCAAACTCCCTACGTTTCTAGCGTAACTGACCTGCCTGCGCGCCCGCCGGTACGTGGTTTACGTACGCCTGTCACGCAGTCCAGTCCACAGACGCAAGACGCACAGACGCTGTTTACTCCACCAACGCAACAGTTCTTAGCGGCTTTTTTTTGACCTATATCTTCTCGCAGTTAGCACAAAGTTGTTGCAATGGCAGACAAGAATCCAGGAGCAGTTAGCCGCAAAAGAAAGTCCGTTTTTGGAGTCGCTGAAAGAAGAAGACAAGGGGAAAAGCAGCGAAGCCAAAACTAAGGTGATTCTTGTAGATTCATTCCAGCGATGGCGCGACTGAAGCAGACGCCAGGGTCTAAAGACTGACGCATTGGTCGCCAAATTACTCCTGGACAGGTAACTTCTGCTTATTATGAAAACGTACTTTATTTCCAGTGCTAGTCAAACGTTTTTTCAGGACACGAAAGCGATATCCTATGTCTGAAAACGTAATTTTCAAGGCAAAGAAAGAGTCCGCTTGCTGCTGCGTGTTGTAGCTAGTTCATTCGCACTGAATCTCCGCGCAACCTTCTCTGCTCCCCTTTCCTACTCCTGTCCCCGGCTGCCCGTTCCGCTCTTCCCCCTTTCCTCACTTCTACGGGCACGGAATCTCCGCGCACCGCTCCCCCTCTCTCTCTCCTCTCTCCTCTCCCCTGCTCCGCTCTTCTCCCTGCTCCTCACTTCTCGTCCGCGAACGAAATGTCCGCACACCCGCTTCCCCCCGCTCCTCACTTCTCCGCCTTGCCTAACCAACACTGTAGTTAGTTTGTTTACAAGTCATGTGCACCGGCTGTAAACAAACCTGTTTCTGGCGTAAAGAGGAGGAGGGAGGAGGTGTTTTTCTACGTAGGAGCTGTAGGGGAGGGGGGGGGTTTCACGCATGCGCAACATTTGAAAAAAGGACAAACAGTCGCTGGAATTTCTCGTTCCTTGGAAAATCCTCTATACAACCTTTAAAGAGGAGTATATCTGACCTCTGCGGGGTATTAAAGAGGAGTATCTGACCTCTGTGGGGTATTAAAGAGGAGTATCTGACCTCTGCGGGGTATTAAAGAGGAGTATCTGACCTCTGCGGGGTATTAAAGAGGAGTATCTGACCTCTGCGGGGTATTAAAGAGGGGTATCTGACCTCTGCGGGGTATTAAAGAGGGGTATCTGACCTCTGCGGGGTATTAAAGAGGGGTATCTGACCTCTGCGGGGTATTAAAGAGGGGTATCTGACCTCTGTGGGGTATTAAAGAGGAGTATCTGACCTCTGTGGGGTATTAAAGAGGGGTATCTGACCTCTGTGGGGTATTAAAGAGGAGTATCTGACCTCTGTGGGGTATTAAAGAGGGGTATCTGACCTCTGTGGGGTATTAAAGAGGAGTATCTGACCTCTGTGGGGTATTAAAGAGGAGTATCTGACCTCTGCGGGGTATTAAAGAGGGGTATCTGACCTCTGCGGGGTATTAAAGAGGAGTATCTGACCTCTGCGGGGTATTAAAGAGGGGTATCTGACCTCTGTGGGGTATTAAAGAGGAGTATCTGACCTCTGTGGGGTATTAACTGTAACACGTCACATATTTAAATCAGTTTTTTTTTCCTTTTTATTGTTTTCAAAATGTTCTATTTACCCAAAACTACAGATTTACACGTTAAATAAAATTCACTTTTGTTTTTGACACTCTCTGCTCTCCGCACTAAGTCACTCCCCCTTCAGAGCGCTCTCAAAACATCACCATGTTTTTGATGAGAGAACGTCAGAACGTGAGAGAAAGACACGAAAAACAAATTTAGCAGAATACCTCGTCTTTAATCACAATCAAATTTCAAATCGGAATTACAATTTGAATCAACGCAATTATCAAATCCCAAAGGCCACAACGAAATCTCTGTTCTGTTCTGCATAAAATCTGTTCCTCCTGCAGTTGAGGTTTGTACAAATGTTCTGAAATGTGATTCTTATTTTATTTTTTCAGCTGCGTTTCAGTGTTTTTGATCATTTTTCTGGACGAGTTTAAAATGTGAAACTTTGAACAGAATCTCATTATTAAAATCACAAATCTAATCAATCAGAAAAAATTCTTTGATTTCATTCAGCTTCAGTTTCAGTCGATCAGTTGGACTTTTTTTATTTTTTTTATTTAACTAATAAGATTAAACATGTATTTCCAGTCTGCTCCAAACCAAACTCCTGCTCTCTGACCTTTACACATGACCGGACTGTGCGCTCGCCTCTCCGCAGATCTGACTCCTGTTGTTGATTCCTGATGTGTTGTTTGATCCTCAGACATCGACGAGTGTTCGTTCGAGAGAACATGTGACCACACCTGTGTGAACTACCCCGGCAGCTTCCAGTGTCTGTGTGACAAGGGCTACATCCTGTACGGACTCACACACTGCGGAGGTCAGACGCACACTAACACACACTACACACACACACACACACACACACTAACACACTAACACACACACTACACACACACACACACACACACTAACACACACACACACACACACTACACACACACACACACTCACACACACACACACTAAACACACACACACTAACACACACACACACACACACACACACACTAACACACACACACACACACTACACACACACACACACACACTACACACACACACACACTACACACACACACTAACACACACACACTACACACACACACACTAACACACACACACACACACACACTACACACACACACACACTACACACACTACACAACACACACACACTAACACACACACACTAACACACACACACTACACACACACACACACACACTAACACACACACACTAACACACACATAACACACACACACTAACACACACACACACAACACACACACACTACACACACACACTACACACACTAACACACACACACTACACACACACACACACACACACACACACACTAACACACACACTAACACACACACACTAACACACACACACTCACACACACACACACAACACACACACACTACCACACACACACACACACACACTACACACACACACACACTACACACACACACACACACACACTAACACACACACACACACACACACTAACACACACACACTAACAACACACTAACACACACACTAACACACACACACTAACACACACACACACACACACACACACACACACTACACACACTAACACACACACACACACTAAACACACACACACTAACACACACACACTAACACACACACACACACTACACACACACACTAACACACACACACACACACACTAACACACACACACTAACACACACACTACACACACAACACACACAACACACACACACTAACACACACACTACACACACTAACACACACCACTAACACACACACACTAACACACACACACACACACACACACACACACACTAACACACTACACACACACACTAACAACACACACACACTAAACACACACACACACACACACACACACACACTAACACACACACACACTACACACACACACACTACACACACACAACACACTAACACACACACACACTAACACACACACACTAACACACTAACACACACACACTAACACACACACACACACACTACACACACACACACTAACACACACACACTAACACACACACACTAACACACACACACTAACACACACACACTAACACACACACACTACACACACACACACTAACACACTAACACACTAACACACACACACACACACACACACTAACACACACACACACACTAACACACAACACAACACACACTAACACACACACTAACACACACACACTAACCACACACACACACACTACACACACACACACACTACACAACACACACACTACACACCACACACTACACACACACACACACACACACACACTAACACACACATACACACAACTAACACACACACACTACACACACACACACACACTACACACACACACACACACTAAACACCACACTAACACACACACACTAACACAATAACACACACACACTAACACACACACTAACACACACACTAACACACACACACACACAGTAACACACACACACACAGTTTTCTGTTCAGATCGTCCAGCGCTCGTCCCTGAGCTGCAGAGGCACTAGACCTGACACCAGCTCTGACTCCTGCTGCTGCAGGTGGCGGGGTTTAGAGTTTTTAGAGTTTAGAGTTTAGAGTTTAGAGTTTAGTTTAAAGTTTAGAGTTTAGAGTTTAAAGTTTAGAGTTTAGAGTTTAAGAGTTTAGGGTTTAGAGTTTAGAGTTTAGGTTTAGAGTTTAGAGTTTAGGTTTAAAGTTTAGAGTTTAGAGTTTAGGGTTTAAAGTTTAGAGTTTAGGAGTTTAGAGTTTAGAGTTTAAGTTTAAAGTTTAGGGTTTAGAGTTTAGGGTTTAAAGTTTAGAGTTTAGAGTTTAGGGTTTAGAGTTTAGGGTTTAGAGTTTAAGGTTTAGAGTTTAGAGTTTAGAGTTTAGAGTTTAGAGTTTAGAGTTTAGAGTTTAGAGTTTAGGGAGACATGTTCAGATCAGAGAAACGTTTTAGGTTTAAACTAACTGGATTTCAGTTTTGAACCAACAACTCAAACAAGAATCATGTGAGACTCTGATTCTGATTTTAGAATCATCTAGAACCAAAACACTGAATTAGAATCTGTGTATCATTAGGTTTTCAAAATATATATATATATATATATATATATATATATATATTACAATTCCAAAAATAAGAAATGCTTTTGTTTTTTTCAGTTTTTTGATTTTGTATATACTGATTTCTGTCAGGTGATCAGGCTGGAAGATTGGAGACCTGGTTTAGCTGGTTTAGTCCTGGTTTAGTCCTGGTTTAGTCCTGGTTTAGTCCTGGTTTAGTCCTGGTTTAGGTCTGTTTGTCCTGGTTTAGTCCTGGTTTAGTCCTGGTTTAGTCCTGGTTTAGTCCTGGTTTAGTCCTGGTTTAGTCCTGGTTTAGTCCCAGTGTCGCAGTTTAAGTCTCGTAAACGGGAAACGGTTGTTATCAGTTTTTTTTCCATTTTTCATTTAAACACAAAACTGAAAACTAAAAAAAACAAATCATTATCAGTTTTTTTCATTTTGGTTTTGGAGACAAATAATGAAGAAAATAGTTTTGTTTTGTTTTTTGTATTTTTTTCTTTTTCTTTTGAAAAACAAATAAACGAACGACACACAGATTCATCAGGTCCAGTGTTTGTGTTTCAGAATCACAGTTGTTGTTCTCAGTAAAAGTTTGATTTGATTTGATCGTGTTTCCCTCAGATTTAAAAAGGCGTCTGTACATTTCCTCATCACGATCGTGTTTCTGTGTTTAATGAAATTATTGACAAAAAAACATCGACCAAAAGAAAAAGAGAAAGAGAGAAAGAAAGAGAAAGAGAGAAAGAAGGAGCTGCGTGTGTGAAGAGACGAGCGGAAGAGTGAACAGCCTCCACAACATCTGTCTTCATTAGAGGAACGAGAGAACGAGGGAGGAGGAGGAGGAGGAGGAGGAGAGACGGAGGGGGGAAGAAGAGAGAGAAGGAAGAGAGAGAGGAGAGAAAAAAAGATGGGAAGGAGAAAGGGAAGAGGGAAGGAAAATGAAGGTAGGAAAAAGAATGAAGGAGTGAGGGATGAGGGAAGGAAGGGAGCAGGAAGGGGGAGAGAGAGGAGGATAAGAGAGGGGGAGAGGAAAGAGAAGGAGAGAGGAGGAGGGGGGCGTGAGAAAAAGAGGAGAGAAGGGTGAGGCAGAATGATGAGGAGAAAGAGAGAAGGAGGGAGGAGGAAGGAAGAAGAGAGAAAGGAGAGAAAGAGAAGGAGAATGGGTGAGAGAAAAAGATGAGTGAGAAAGAGAAGGAGGGAGGAGTGAGAGAGAAGGAGGGAGGGAGGAGGACAAAAGAGAGAGGGGGAAAGAGGAGAGAAGGAAGAGAGAGAGGAGAAAAAGAAGGAGGGAGGAGTTAAAGAGGAGAGAAAGGA